TTTTGGTAACAATACAAAAGTCAATTTTATTATTATAACAACTAATTAATACATTCCTATCTTATGAATAATTATGAATTAACTCTGTGATATAAATTAACATCTCATTTACAATGTACCTATAATATAAACTCAAAATTAATGTAAAGCTATTGACGTTATATTTCCTCATTCTTTTTCCAAATTATTTGTAATAAAATCTCCTTTTTGAAAAATATTGTTACATAATATCTTTGAGATTGGTCAGTTTTATTTTTAATTCTCAAGGGTATAAAAATTTCCGTTCAGTAGATGTTATGGTTTGCAGAAAGGTCAATAAAGAAGTACGTAATAAATTTGATCTCCATCATAAATATTCGAGAATGTAGCCTTTAACTTGTAAGGATATAATTCGTTATATCGTTAAAACTTATTCACATTGAAATTAAAACTGAATTATTAATCTACTTATAGGAAAGTGACTTTAAATTCGAACCAATAATACATGTATTATCGCAAAACCAACTATTATAGAATTGCAAACTGTCTTAGGGACTCAATAATTTAAATATGTACTATATTACTAATAATACCTTGTACTTGAAGCATGGTTTACCTTCTATAGTATAATAATATACAATTAACTTTAATAAAATCATACGTATCTTACAATATTCGAATGTGAAATAAAATTTCTTTTTCGACTGACATTGTTTTTAGATTTGGAATTTTAAACAAGGGTTGGATTTGTACCAAAAGACGACTCTAATTATAAATGTATTAACCCTCAACTGGCGTGATGAAATTTGGTACCGCTTATGGCGTTCTGGGGTCCTATAGACCACAATTGTTTTTTTTTCAATTAAAAATAAATGGCAAAGAGATTTTACAAAATGTTTGTTATTTTAACACTGTTTACAATATATTCAAACTTATGAATTAATGTCTCTCTCTCATTCGTTTTCAATAAATTAATAAGAACGGGCACTAAAATAAAGTAACGCGAATTTATGACAACAGAAATATAAGTTGGCTAAAAAATCCATAGAAATTAATAACATATATATTTTTTGATTTTCTCATATTATTGAAAGTACAAACAATTGAATTGTGAAGCTAAAGTAATAAACATACATTATTTTCAACAAAACTGCAAATCCTGAATGTATATAACTTTTCAAAATACTAAAAACTAATTGCAATACAAATACAAATACTAATTGCTAACATACGATCTGCAGGCACCGTACATGAATGGTGCACATTTGTTTCAGGAGATTTTATTTATTTTATGGGACCGTAATAGATGCCCGACGAACTGTTGCAAGACTCTGTATAATTTATTATATTTACATAAGTAGAAGCATACTGGCGAGGGGTGTCTCACTGTTGGAATTACATGTACATTTTCTTGGCAATCGCTGGCAGTCATTGGCAGTCTTACGGCAGTCACCCATAATAATTACATGGCAGTCATAGGCAGTCTTCTTTACAGTCACTGGCACCCGCTTGACAGTAAAATGATATTTTGACAGTACATGTACATTTTTTACCCAAGTGAGACACACCTCGTATACTGGTGTCTAATCAGAAATAATGTAGAGTAATTCCGGGAGAGATGGACCATCGCCTGAGATGGACCAGTCGCGTAACTTCAACGGTAATCGTTAGGGGGTGCTAGTTTTAATGTGTACATGAGCCAAGTTACGTTTCATTGACGCTTCAACAGTTGCAAGTATAGGATGCGTTTACAGCGTTTGCAAAATAAATTTTTCGATTTTAAGACGTGCTATAATTTTTGAACCTGATTTTGAGGAAGCGATTTTGTCTAAATGTAAGTATTTCTTTAAAAATGTTTGTTAAATATATAATGTTTGGTGTCCCTTTTTATTAGTTTAAGTAGTGTAAGCCTTGAAATGTAACTAAATTTTAGGTTTTTTTGTGGTCCATCTATCCCCGAAATTTGGGATAGATGGACCGCACACACATGAACCGGTATAATTGTGTTTTTTTCAGAATGCCGACTAGATATAAACAGAAGCTAAGTGCAGAAAGGGCCTCGTGGTCAGAAAATGACTTAAATAATGCCATAACGGCAATTAATTCAGGAACGATGGGTGTAAACGCTGCTGCCAGGCACTTTAATGTTCCAAAGGCTACTTTACTCAGACGACGTAAGTCTGGAAATTTAAAAAAAAATGGATCGTTAGGTCCCTCATCGACTTTAGGAGACGCAACTGAGGCAAAATTAGTAGCCCACATAAAACAACTCCAACAAGACTTGATGTACGTCAGATGGCTTTCAATCAAAAATCAAGCATCCTTTTTGGCACGTCCACCAAACCAGCTGGCTATGATTGGCTTAACCTTGTCTTAAATCGGCATCCTGATCTTAGCTTTAGAGTAGCTGAAGGGGTGTCAATAAACCGTCAAACTGCTTTGTGCCACGTAGAAAACTACTTTCAATTGTTAGAAAGTATTCTTGAAGAAAATTCAGCTCTTTAATAAACCGGGCAATATTTTTAATGTAGATGAAACGGAAAAACCAAAAAAAAAAAACGCGACTAAAAAGAAAAGCAAATTACATAAGAAACTAACAACGCAATCATCGAAAATTGCAAAGCTTAGGCTTAGACCAAGTAAGGAAAGAGAATCGTTAACCAGTACTTCTGAGTCAGAGGATAATGTGTCTTTACACGATAAAAGCGATGGCTTTGAAGATTGGGAAGAAAATAACTGCGCTAGTTGTGGTGAAAATTACAATATCACAACAAAAACCGACGACTGGGTTCAATGCATTGTATGCACTTAATGGCTGCACGAGTCATATCTAAAATACGAAAATATGTGTGATCAGTGTGGAAAAAAGGCTGTTACTGTTTATTAATATAATAGCAATCTATTTTTTGTAACATTAGATTTAAGAATGTTATTTTCTATGCTTTTTATTGAGGTTCATCTCACCCCTTGTGATTATCTGTCCCATACATGGTGGTTCAACTAAACCTCATCCTCTGGGATAGTTGGACTACATGGTGTTTTTTTTATATATGTATATATTTTAAAAACCTTTAAAGGTAAATGAATTTAAGTTCCTGTTTATTATTAGAATACATTGTTTTGGTTGTTATCGTATTTTTTTGTGTGAATAAAGCTGTTTTAGGCCAGATATGGCCAAAATTAAAAAGAGGTCCATCTTTCCCGGAATTTCCCTATATTATGTCAAAAATACCAACCTTGGCCAAAGTTTTCTTAGTGGATCTGCTTCCTCGTTGATAGTAATAATTGATAGCTTCTATACGGGGTCCCAAAAAAAGATTACGCCAGGGCGCTACATGTACAGGGTGGCTCAAATTCGACGCTTTTAAAGGGAAACACCCTTTTCTATAGTAGATAGACGAAAACTAATATTGGTGTCTGGAGCTCAATTTTTATCAAACACATGATGGTGAAAACCGCACATCTGTTACCGTTTATGAGTTTAGGGGGTGTTTTTAAAAAAATGGTGAATTTTTAACAAATCGCTGTAACCTTTTTGCAACGGAAAATTTTGTATTTTTATGAAAACATTTCCAAAGCACATTTTTACGTAGAATTTAATGGTTTAATTATAATTTTTTTGAAATTATTAATTTAAGAGTTATCAACAGAAAAATTGATTTTTTATTTCGGACACCCTGTATAATTTTAATTAAATGGAAATAACTTAAAATTACCTTTCCAAAAATATAGCACACTTAATATTCTGTTATAGTCTCCTTCAAAATACAGAATTTTTCAAAAAGTTCACCACTTTTAACTAGTAGGCTTTAGACACCTTATTGATGATTATGCCCCTTAAAGAACTCCAAAACATATTTTTCCAGCAAGATAAGGCACCGCTTCAGAACGCTGATGTTATTAGCAAATTTTTGCAGCCAGTTTCGAGAATAATTGAATAGCTAACCAAGATCTCTACCGTTGGCCATCGAGGCCTCCGAAGCCGCCGGACTTAGTGCCTATGGATTTTTATCTTTGCGGAAGAATAAAGGTTCTTATTTTTAAATTACCCGTATAATATAGAAACAATTTTTTTTATCAAATTCTGTATCTCCCATTACAAATATTATTTTCGGTTTTAATTGCTGCTCACAGCTAGAATTTTTTTGCATTACAGCCGGCGCCGTTCAAAGCCTATTTCCTACTTATTCAAAGTGGGCAAATTTTTAAAAAATCTATATCTAGCAATCAAGCAAAATATGAAGTATGCTATATTTTTGGAAAAGTAATTTTAAATTATTTTCGATGAATTAAAAATATACAGGGTGTCCCATATAAAAAATCAAATTTTCTGTTGGTAATTCTTAAATTATTAATTTAAAAAAATATACTTAAACCATTAAATTCTACGTAAAAAGTGCTTTGGAAATGTTTTCATAAAAATAAAAAAATTTCCATACAAAAAAGTTAGTAATTTATTAAAAATGCACATTTTTGAAAAACACCCTGTAACAGATATTGATGTGCGGTTTTCATCATTATGTTTTTGATAAAAATTGAGCTCCAGACGCCGATATTAGTTTTCATCTATCTCCTATAGAAAAGGGTGTTTCCTTTTAAAAGTCTCCAATTTGACCCACCCTGTATTGTACCTGTTTATTGAAAAGCAACGTTAGCAAAAAAGCGTTGTACAACAAATTGCCTATAAAACATAATAAAGACAATGAAAATCCAGAGATCCAATATTTTATTAGTACCAAGTAAAAAAAATTAGAAAAATAATAATAATTAGTATATAATCATTTGGTGTGTTGTAAACATTAATACGCGCCAACAAAAACATATGCTCATATTTTTTCCAACAATTTTTACCGCATAATCTATCTAAAAACGAACGAAAACACAATAGAGGGCATCTATTACATGCTCGGCATGCTCCTAAAAATACCACATATTTCTTCAAAATTAGACATATAGGTAATTTGTATAGCCCGTTATAACTGAGAACTAATTTTAAATACTTCAACCTATATATTAATTACCTTTTCTCATATTTTTGTGGTCGCGAAATAGGTAGCAGTGGGGAAAATATAAGGATTTTACGTGGAAAATTCTAATTTAGTGTCTGTTTAGAGTTAAGCGACATTCAAAAAGTGAACATCATGGTATGTCAACCCAATTTTTTTACTAATTATTGTTTTTTAATATTGCATAAGTTTAATAATTTTTGGTTTTGTTTTGTGGCTTTCTATGTCTTGAATCAATCAAATTGAATGTTGTGTTAGTGATAGTTTATAGTAATATTATGCAATTTCCTGGAAATTGCATATAAAAGGAGAATAAAACTATCCTGATTATTTTTGAACTCTAGTTTTTCCTGTTAGAACATATTTAAAAAAATCACAAGTATGATTTCTAGATTTTCTAAATTTATCTGTTAAAAAACATCTGGAAAAATTTTGCTTGCATAATATAATAAAATGCTAAATGTAGCGTGAAAAATTACAAATTTTCAATATGTGATAGGTACAAACAAGATCAAATAAATGGATATCATTATCATTTACAGAGTGTTTTGAAAAAACATTCCTCACGTAGAAATAAGATTTATTTTTTATAAATAGGTCCGATTCTGATTTGTTTCGTAGCTACAGGAGAGGTTAAAGTCTTCATTTTTTTTTAGATTTATTACAATTTTTCTGCCAAGTGCTTTTAGCGATTCGAGCGAAATTTTGATAGTAAAAGTTACTATAAGTGTTACATGTTTTAGTACTAAAAAAGTGTCAACAGATTCGCCTTAAACGTGCATAATACCAAGTGTTGCATCGTCGAGCGGGACATAGGAAATCCCATGTAAATTCTAATGGGGTCAATTATTGGCTTCCCTAATTATTTTAGAGAATAATTCTATTTAGGTTTATTGAAGAGCACTAAAACCCACACTTCAAAAGAATATCTTTAGATATTTTTGATTAGCTCGTTTACGAGTTATCGCCGATTTCTTTTTAAATGTTTCTCCTTTCTTAAGGCCCTGTATTTCTTATGAGCACCGGTCAAGGTAAAAGATAATTGTCAAATGAAGTTCTCATTTCAGAAATTTATCTATTTAGTGCTTTATTATTATTGAAAACTCATTCCTACATCGGAAATCTTAAAGATGTATTTATAAATACAAATTAATATGAATTTAAGTAAATTAAAGTAATCAATTACAAGGTTAATTATAGTATTATTACAATATTCAATAACTTATTAATTTAGGTACTATTAAATTGTTAGAACTTTAGGATTTAAGAAGATGTTCAAATATTCCTCCATCGACTGCTAGACAATAACCCAGGCGATGATAAAATTCTCTTCTTACATTCGCTAGTTGGTAAACTGAAATTCTATTGCATTCGGCAGAAATAGCATTTTTTAACTCGTCTAGATTTGGGTATTTCTTATCCTTGAATATCCTGTTTATTAAATGGCCCCAGAGAAAGAAATCATTTGGCGAAATATCAGGAGACCTTGCTGGCCAATTTACTGTATGATTTAGGCCAATAACGTTTCCGTTAAAACTATTGTCTAAATATTCCCAAACAGCCAGGGTACTATGTGCCGAGCAGCCATCCATTTGGTACCAAACTTCCTGATTTTCCCTAGCGGTATCATGTAAAGCATGTAAAATATGATTTTCGAGTAGTTCCAAATAATATTCTGCATTTATATTGTGTCCGAATATCCCTGCCCAAACATTTACTTTCTGTGGATATTACGTCCTTGTTTCGACAAACTTGTGTTGGTTTTCTTTGTTCCAATATCGATAATTTTGAACATAGGGTTCATTATTTAAGGTAAACGTGCATTCATCAGTGAAACATATGTTTTTTAAAAATTCCCTATCCGTGGTTGCTCTTTCCATCATATCAAAACAAAACGCCTGCCACCGTATTTCGTCCCCATCTCGTAGCTCTTGGTGCTTTTCATATTTGAAGGAATAGTATTATGTCGTTTCAAAATTCGAAACTCTGTAGTGTGATCTATTCCTATTTCATCCTCAAGTTTCCTTGTGCTTATCTTTCCATCGTTCTCTTCCACGCACAATAAAACTTCCAAATCGGTATCATTTCTTGCATCTTCTCTTTGTTCCTGCCTTGCTTCACATCTGCAGTTATTTATTAGGGTACCTTTGGTCTCAAATCTCTGGATATTCCTTGCGATTATAGATTTTCCAGGTATCGGTCTATTCGAATACAGAGCAGCGACACCTTTTGAGAACTATTTCCTTTAGATAACTATTCATTGATAATACCATTTAATCATCACTACTTTTTCTTCGGTAGTATAATTCATGGCTAATATTTTCGATGCAGGTATGAGTTTTTAATAATAATGATAATAAAGCACTAAATAGATAAATATCTGAAATGACAACTTCATTTGACAGTTATCTTTTACCTTGACTGGTGCTCATAAGTAAATACAGGGCTATAAGAAAGGAGAAATATTTAAAAGAAATCGGCGATAACTCGTAAACGGGCTAATCAAAAATATCTAAAGTTATTCTTTTGAATGTGGGTTTTAGTGCTCTTCAATAAACCTAAATAGAATTATTCTCTAAAATAATTAGGGAAGCCAATAATTGACCCCATTAAAATTTACATGGGATTTCCTATGTCCCGCTCGACGATGCAACACCCGGTATGTATTTTTACCCTCAAAATTGCATTCGAATCGCTAAAAGCACTTGGAGAAAAATTATAATAAATCAAAAAAAAAATGAAACTTTAGCCACCTGTAGCTACGAAACGAAGCAGAATCGGACCTATGTTGATAAAAAATTACGTGAGGAATTTCCCCACGAGAGATGGCACATGTTTTTTTGAAATATGCTGTATAAATAAAACCGCAATAGTTTAAGAAAAAATAAATCAAAATAGTTCAATTGTTCTTAAGAGTCAATTTCACTAGTCCGATAGAGTAGCAAAATAAGCGTTCGGCATTGAACGTTTTATATAAAACTGGCTAGATATTTTTACACAAATGAAGAAGGAAATTAAAGATAAAGGATTATACTATATTCGTATTGTAGTACATTTTTAGACAACTTTTTTATTTTTAAGATTTTGATGGTCAAACATCAACAAAATATTCCTTATGTTTGAACTAAATTTTCTCGAAAATACAGACATAATTTAAAATTCCGTTACAAGTTTTGTGATTACAGTGATATATAATTTTTATGGTTTTGTAACAAATTGCTCGCTATTTTATGGCAAATACTGCAGCTCTGCAAACCTTAATCAAGCCTTAATGAAAGCACGTGTGCTTGGAATTTTGGGTGTGGCTTAACACGATAGGAACGAGCTTTAGGCAGATTTCTGAAATATAATATATATTTCCTTCGGCCACACACCCCCTTTACCCGACCCCTGAGAGCGACCCGAAAGTACAGCGTAATAGGCTCTTAATAAATTTAAATTAAAAAATAAATGAAATAATAAAAGTAATAAATATACTCGTAAGCAAATATGAACTAAGCCTTATCAATAAAGCAATATTTTGTTTACTTCTCTTTTTGCACTTATTAATTTGTCGTAAATGTGCTTTAATTGTTTGTTTTATCCACTAGTATTCATTAGAGCGAAAAATAAAGATTAAATAAAGACAGATCCAATTACTGTTGGTGATTTAAGTGAATTAACGCTATAATTCATCTTCAAACAAACTATAATATACATATCCAAATTAACTGGTTTCACGAAAGCGATAAATTAGGTTTGGTTTATCCTGACAGATTGCCAACACAAATAATTTACTTGCTTGGATGCCAGTGAAAATGGTGTTTTCGATTTTTATAAAAATAAATCTTTCATTAATTTTCATTTGTGTCTCCAATAAATCTTCTGAAATTTGAGCGACTTTCGGAAAAATAATGGAATTATTTTATTTTAATAAATACAGTGAGGCATATAAATTCCGTATCAGTAGATTTTTTTATTAATGAGTTATGAGATATTTACACTTAGCGTTATAGAATGTAGAATATTTAGGAGGGGAGTTAATCAACGCGACCTTACAGATCTACTGTGTGTTCCCCAGTATCTGAGACGGCTCCATAGAGACCAGCTCTCCATCTCCGACATCAGCCGTACCAAAATTTATGGCACGAACGTTTGTCGTCTCGGCGCACTCAGTGATAAGGTGTTCTGGTGTTTCCCCATTTTCCCCACAAAATCTGCATTCGCCGTTGTTTCTCCGCTTCAATATACCGAGGTGTTCGTTGAGGAGACAGTGTCCTGTAAGAATTACCGTGACAATCCGAAGATTGTCCTTACTTAAATCAAGAAAAATTTTTGATTTTTCTCGGTCGTAAGTTCTGAGGAACTTTTTTGAGTATCTTAGACCGTTGAAGGGTTCCCATTCCAGGTTAGGAATGGTTTTCGCTTGGAAAGCAGAACGTTATAAATTCTTGGAATGTCATCCACTGGGAGTTGGAGAACTGGCATTTTCTTTTTAAGGGTGTTCCAAGCATCTGACTTGAAAATTCTCCCAGCACTGTTTCCGTCAATCACCATTCTAATCATTGTCGCATTGGCATAACTACCGACGACAATGTGCAGTGGTGTTAGGTCTAGTATGACCTCCATTGCTGCTGTTGGACATGTTCTCATGGCACTTGCGATGCAGATGCAGGCCAGTCTCTGTACTTTGTAAATGTTTTACCTTGCTGACCGTTGCTCTAGTTTTGTGTACCAAGCAACTTAGGTAACAACATAAGAAATCATTTTTTATCATTTTAATCTTTAACAACATAGGTAATCTAAAATGGGTCTTATTATCATGGTATAAGCGCAAAATGTTAGGGACGCAGCCCCATCTATTTCCCGCCAGTCTTCTACATATCATGAGAGCCTTTGTGGCTTCGCTGGTAATATTCTTAATATGCCTGTTCCAGAGAAGTTTACTATCCACGGTTATTCCCAGATATTTGACTTCCCGGGATGGCAGTAATTCCTTTCCATCTAGATGGATTCTTTTCAAGTTTTTCAGACTTCGCTTTATGGTGAATGGCACTACCGCGGTTTTGTCTGCGTTGATGCTCAGCCTGACAGTCCTGCACCATCTCTCAGCGATGCGGAGTCCTCTTTTGATAATATCAAACAAGGTGCCTTCATGTTTCCCCCGTGCAATCATGACTATGTCATCTGCATATCCTTTGCATGTATTCCCGCTAGAGTTAATGAGTCTAGAAGTTCATCCACTACCAAGCTCCACAGCAGGGGGGAGGTCACTCCACCTTGTGGAGTTTCTTGCGTTGTTTTAACAACTACAGTTTTGGTGCCTATTTCAGCCTTTGCTGTCCGTGTTGAGAGCATTACCCAAAACCAGCGAATTATCGTACTTCTAAAGATCGCTTGACAACTTTGTGAGGTAGCCCGGTTATGTAAGTAAAATACTTATCATATTTAATTATTTTGGTTTATTTGGTGTAATTTTAAATTGTTATTTTTTTTTCAATTCCTTTTATGACAATCTGTTAAAAATATGTTATATAACCTATAGTAATGACAGAAAGGGCCAGTATACAAAATATTCCAAAGATTTCCAAGTATTCCTCGCTAAATATGCTCCAGAGGTAAAGGTACTAGTTAAAGAAAATAAGAAGCGAATTGTCCCTGCCATGTATGTGAAACCCATAAAACTAGTTTTTGCAACTAATGCAACAAATTTGTTCGCAAAAACTAGAGCGATAGTCTAATCAATAGTATTACTGGTAAATATATATCTATAGAAGAAGGCTAAACATTAAGATGATACGAGTAGTTTCATCTTCTTCCAATGGTTAATTTTTTTTTAATATTTACCTATAAGGTCCTGTTTGGTTTATTATATTATAATATGTTCGGAATGATTTAGTTTTTAATTTTAAAGTACGCGCCTGCCCGACGGTTAAGGCAAAAATTAAGGCTAAAAAATAAATTCCATAATATAATTCAGACTTTAGATGTGACATTGTACAGGGTGGCGCACCTCATTCGCCTCGGTTGATTATACGAAAACGGAAAGATGTAGAAACAAAATATTTTATGGGTATATGTAGGGAGACAATGTGCACAATTTAAAATTATTTTGAAATATACAGGGTGTTTCAGAACTAAGATCCATACCAAAGTTATATTTTTTTTATGGAACACCCGGTATTTTATTTCATTTTTGGATTCTTGCGCTCAAAAAAAGGCATTTATTATAATGGTTAAATATGTCAAAAATCTTTGGTTTTTGAGATATTTAAAGATATTTAAATTTGCATGCTACAATAGAATAGGTTATTAACACCCTGTACATTACTTTTCAGAATTAATTCTTATGTTAAAAAAAAAGGTAAAAGGTAGAGAAATTAAAGGTAGAGAAATTAAAGGTAGAGAAATTAAAGGTAGAGAAATAAACTTTACTGGAAAATGGTATTGCATCCTGAAATTTATACAGGGCTATTAAAAGTTGCTGGTCTATTTTAAGGATGTATTTTATATAAAAACTTATTTCAAATGCAACACCCTGTATTTTTTAAAATAAATCGAAACAGATTCAAATGCTCTTTCAAACTATATTAAGGTTTCCTATACCTATCTAGCTCAGATTTTGAATAAAAAGTGATTTTTAAATAAAATTGCAATCAGGATGGCTGCTGTCGCCATGGCAATTTTCTAGTGACAAGTAGTAACTATTTTCAAAGTCGACATTAGTTTATAGACATTATTATTTATAATTTATAACAGTTTACTTTAATTTACCTACAATAGTTTAATAAATAAGTATTAATTATTTTATCAAGAAAAATAAAGCAGTATCTGCTGGCGGAACGAATAGATATGTTACTAGTGATTTCATTTTGTGAGGAAAATTGCTTCTTGGCCTCAAGGGCTTATGCTCAAAGATATCCAAATAGAAATCTTCCTGATAAGCGTTCCTTTGAAAAAGTACTGGTCCAATTTCGCAGAGCTTGTAGTGTGGTTTATAGAAAACTTATTAGGCAGAAACCTGTCGTTAGTAGTGAAGAAAATGAATTTGCCGTAATTGGCTCTTTTCGAAGAAAATCCATATATCTACAAGTCATCGTAGAATACTCAAATATCAAAGAACTATTTCTTCGTTTTTCTTGATAGAATAATAAATACATATTTAATAAATATTATTTATTAAACTGTTGTAGGTAAATTAAATAAAAGTAAACTGGTATAAATTTAAATAAGTCCATAAACTAAATTCGATTTTGAAAATAGCTACTGTCATTAGAAACTTGCCATGACGACACTAACCCTCATGGTTTCCATTTTATTGAAAAATTGCTCTTTATTCAACATCTGAGCTAGATCGGTATAAATTGTGCACATTGTCTCCCCACACATACTCATAAAATATTTTATTTCTACATCTTTCCGTTTTCGTATAGTCAACCGAGGCGAATGAGGTGCGCCACCCTGTACAACTTGGAATGATTTTGTTTTCTTAAAACTATTCTATAATTAAAAAAATATATTCTTTGTTTCTAATAGGCTGAAGACGCAGAGAAGATTGCGGTTCTCCGTAAAGCATTTCAAATGTTCGATACGACCAAAAGTGGTTTCATCGAAACTACTAAAATTGCAACCATTTTAAACACTATGGGTCAATTATTTGACGAAGGAGAACTGAGCAACCTTATCAAAAAGAATGACCCTCAACATACCGGAAAAGTCAATTTTGACGACTTTGCAGAAATAGCTTCTCACTTTCTAGAGGAAGACGAACAAGAAACCCAACAAGAACTAAAAGAGGCTTTCAGGTAGGATATTTTCTCCATATATTTATCGTGCCGTAGTGTGTTGGAAACACTGCGACCTCTAAGACCTATTGTATTTGTCTTTTTTTATGTCTGCATCCATTCTCCCCTCTATCTACTATCATTGTACGCTGGACCAACTTGTATAGATCCTTGATAGGCTTGGATGGGAGCATAGTTCCTCCGGTTCTAGCCTTACTTTCCCAAATAGAAAGAGTCGCTTGCGATCCAGAGTAGAGATGAGCAAAACTGCGATTCTCCATTCGCAATAGGGTGGCTCGACGAAGTGTGACTGGATCGGGATGATTTTTTTTAAATTGGAACACCCTGTATATTATTGCATTTTTGGCTTTATTTCAGATCACTTTACATAATCCTAAGATATGAGTAAATATATTTCGATAATTTCAGAGATTAATAAATAAATAAATAATATTTATTTTTTAACCTTTCTTAAAAAAAATATTAGATACAAATACAAGAACTGTCCTGAAATCAAAACTATATTAGGTATTTATTAACGGATTTTTTTTAAAAATCAATTTTATTTTTTCCTCTTTTATTACATTTTTTCCTGCCGTTACTTTTTAGAAAATCAAAAAACTAACTGCACATTCTATAGCAACTTTATCAGGCCTATCTGATAGTATTTTTAGATTTTCAAATTAGCTGTTAATTTGTGAGATACAGAGGCCAACTTAATTTTTTTAAATACGGACCTGCATTTTTTATTTCAGATTTTTAAAGAACTCGGCCTTCTGAGTACAATGATGTGCCACACTTAATATTTTTTTGTTTTCGAAATTTGAACAAAATTTATTTAAACTAATTAATTAATTTTAAAACATACAGGGTGTTCAAAATTCTATGCTATTTTTTTGTTTTTTTTTAAATGAACACCCTGTATATTATTTTTTTATTAGATGGAGAATTAAAAATGAACATTTTTTTGTATTTAAAGTATTACAAAATTTTTAATGGTTTTGCAGATACACACAGCATTATATCATAAGGCTCTTTCAACGATAAAATACGAGAGGAAAATCATTGGGTGGCTTTGATAAACATTTACCGTAAAATGAAAAATGCCATATGAAATATAAAACCGAGAATATCAACGAAACCGTTAAAATTTTTAAAATACTCTAAATACAAAAAATGTAAAAATATATTCATTTTTTAATTTTCCATCTAATAAAAAAATAATATACAGGAAGTTTCATTTAAAAAAAACAAAGAAAATTTATTTTATATTCTAGAAAGTTTGCCGTAGAATTTTGAATATCCTGTTTGATTTACGATTACCATATTTATAGCAAAGTAAGTACAGATCATCTAATGTAAATATCTAATACAGTTTTGATTTTATGTCAGTCCTTGTATTTTTGATAATTTTTATAAGAAAGGCTGAAGAATATATATTTTATTTATTTATTAATGTATCCGAAATGCGATGGTACACATTAATGTATTGCACATTAATGTATTCCGATGCGATGGGCATCGAAATATATTTACTCACATCTTAGGATTATCATTATCATGTATTATTATATATTGATCTAAAAGGAAGTCAAAAAAGCAATAATATACAGGGTGTTTCATTTAAAAACTAAATTAACATATAAAAATCATCCCGATCCACTCACACTTTTTTGAGTCACCCTATAGAAGTTAAAATATTTCCCTGTTGGTTTGTACTTAAACAAAATTCAAGTTTTTTGTTCTAGGAGCTACAGATGCCCGACACACTATTGCCGGACTCTGTATAAAGTTCAAATCAGTGTCAATGTCAGAATTCTATCATTATAAAGTACAATACAAAAATACAATCGAAAAAAACGGTGTCAAAGACAGCTGGGTAATGAAAATCGGTTATGATTATAGCGAGGTCAATCTCTAGACGTCATTTACTAAAAATTGATATAAATCTTATTAAAAATTAACACTAATTATAGAAAGATTAAAAAAGGATAGAACGGACTTTCAGACACAAAAATCTATTTCAAAAAAAATATTTTTTCTCGAATTTTAAACATGTTTTAAACTAAATTACCAAACCAAACCACCCTAAAGCCAACTGACAGTAAGCGGCATTAAAAGAAGGGTACAGGTCAAGTAACGCCGGCGACGTCTAGAGTTTGACTTCGCCAAAATTATCATCGATTGTCATTGTCCGTCTTTGACGCCATTTTTTTTTCGATCGTATGGTATTATTATCCTTGTTTTCCGTAGAACGTTTTCCATAGCTAGATAAATATACATTTAAATATTTTTAGATTGTACGATAGAGAAGGAAATGGATACATTACCACCGGTACGCTAAAAGAAATTTTGGCTGCTTTAGATGACAACTTAACTAGTAGAGACTTGGATGGTATAATCGCTGAAATTGATACCGACGGATCAGGAACAGTAGATTTTGACGGTAATATTATTTTAATATAAATATGTTTAAAATATTCTATTTCTAATTGTTTCAGAATTTATGGAAATGATGACTGGAGATTAAGACAATATACATTAATACATAATAACATTAATTTTAACTTATTTATAAAATATTTAACTGTTTCCGTACAGAAATAAAAATACTGCAACAGTTTTATTTCGTTTTTTCTTTCAATAACAAAAAAAACTGATAGAACGTTTATGAAAATAAATATCAATATACTACTTAAATATTTTTACCTACGACGACAATGTAACAGACGAACCCACTGTACAGCAGAGTCAAGCTTGATTTTCATGCGTCCGGAATGTTGATACGGTTGTCCGACAGCGCTGTTATTGGTCGTAGCGTTTTTGCGCCAATTTTCATCCGAAATTTTTTTACTCCAGCCCACAGAACAGCTCCAGCCCGTCAACGGTGAAAGATCGTACGATAACGGACGTTTTGACACTTTTTTGACAAATTTAATCTTACCTTAATAAAAATATAATAGTACAAGAGCTAGCCCCGTCGGGATAACGAGAGTTTTAAGAAAGCTGGTTCTTTAATATATATTTTGGCCGTCTCTCACATCACATGCGATTCTCACATTACTTTGTTACGTTTTTATAAAACTCAAAGTTATACGCAAAGGTTTGTCGCAAGCCTCCTTAGGTCCTGAAATACAGGACAAATTTGTGATGCGCAGTAGTAAACAAATGTTGAATTCAGATATGCTGCGCAGTATTAAACGCAACGTCTACCGGCAGCCAGATGGTCCGCACTCTGTTCAGTTAGGTTAGGTTAGGGATATATATATATTATATATATATATATATATATATAATATATATATATATATATATATATATATTATATATATATATATATATATATATATATATTAAAAGAACCAGCTTTCTTCAAATTCTTCCTCGAAAACGTTGCTAGCTCTTAGACTTAGCAGCGAACAATCGAAGTCTTTAAATTCAACCAATAAAATTAATATCGTATCATCGTATCGTCGGACAACGGATGCATAAAAATCAAACTTTCGGCGACGCGTCGCCGAGAATGGCACGTCGACATTTTAATTGTTGAAGCTTCAACTATGACGTTGACTTATCAAGTGACATCGTCAACGTAGACAATGTCAACAACTAATAATTCTATATAACCTATGGATATAACCTTCTTAAAGGATATAACCAATTAGGTATATAGTTACAGTTAAAATAGAACGATGTATGGTTAAAAATTAAAACCATAGAATAAACATTTATTAAAAACATAAATTAGACATCCTCTTAAATCTTCTATCTTCTACGTCGCTGAGTGACTTGAGTGCTGAACCGAATCAGAAATATTAGAAATGAAAGTTTCCTTTCAGTATTCTCACTTTGAAGGGTAAAATATAAGTGGCCAACATTTTTGAATGTTCAATAGTAAAATATAATGTACAGGGTGTCTCATTTTCGTGTGTTTTATGGGATTTGTCATTTATGGGTAGAGATACAAAGATGCGGTTTTCAAATTACTCGCACCTCTTTTTGGGGTGCAAGGGGTAGTGAAGCGATACATATAGCCTAGCTTACCCAAAAGTCAACCTCACCTTCACGCGGTGTTGTAGTCTGACGTCCGAGTATAGGCGGTATATTCTTATACAATCCTCAGGCCTACCATCTTTCTGGGGAAGAGGAGTAGTAAACTACTCCTAGCCGGCCGAGAACGTAGCGCAAGGGAACTATTGTCGCTGTCCTCACTGTGCCATAGTCATCCCGTGCTACAGTTGCAACCAAAACTGTGCGGCAGCGTAACCGTTACAGTTTAACCTTTTCACGCAGCTAACACACATCAATGATGGAACATTCGAGTGGGACAAAATCATCATCCGGAGGTAAAATACCCCCTCAATCGGGTCTCCGGGAGGTGCCACTGCCTCGAAACGTATCATCGGAGAAACAAAACATCAATGTTTCACGTTTGCGGCGTGGAACGTCCGCACTCTACTGGACAAGATAAATTCAAATCGACCAGAGAGAAGAACAGCACTGGTCTCTCAGGAACTCCACCGACTAAATATAGATGTTGCCGCTCTTAGCGAAACCCGCTTCGCGGATGAGGGTAGTCTCACTGGGGAGCATTACACCTTCTTTTGGAAAGGTCACCCCGCAACACACAGGAGAATTCATGGCGTAGGCATTGCAATCAAAAACAAAATCGCCACTAAATTAACAGAAGTACCTATTGGTGTCTCCGAACGTCTTATGACCCTAAGGTACCCCATATGAGATAAATCTTAGGGCAACACCATTAGTGCCTACGCTCCCACCCTAGACGCTAAAATTGAGGAAAAGGATAAATTTTACCAAGCCCTACAAAATGCTCTCCAACGAATTCCAAAGCACGAACGAATCATTTTGCTAGGTGACTTTAATGCTCGTATCGGTAGACAACACGAACTATGGCCTGACTTATTGGGAAAACATGGAATAGGAACCGTAAATAGCAATGGTGAACGCTTATTAACAACATGCACAGAGGATAATATATGCATCACCAATACGTGGTTCATGTTGAAGGACAAGTTTAAAGGTACCTGGAAACATCCCAGATCAGGTCACTGGCATCAATTGGACCATGTAATCGTTCGAAGGACGCATCTAAAAGATGTCAGACTCACAAAAGCCAGAATAGATGCCGAATACGGCATCCATCGACTTTTAATTTCAAAAATGAAAATTCAGTTAAAACCCAAACATCCACATTGTAAAAAGCAAAACAACATGACCAGATTGAACGTACGGGGTCTAGAGACAAAAAATACCGCCGACGCACTCCGGGAAGCCACCAAAGAATCACTTCCACCGATAACTTCAATCTCAATCTTGGAAGCTGAACAAGGCTGGACACAATTAAGGGATGCGATTCATAAAACTTGCGAAGCAGTACTGGGAAAGTCTAACAAAAAGAAACAACCAGACTGGTTTAACGAAAATCAACCTCATATACAGACCTTCTTGGAACAAAAGCACAGAGCACATCAAGCAGTCAGTCACTGCAAATCTACACAATCCAAGACTGGTAGACAACTTTAAAGCAGCCAACAACACGCTTCGAAGAAATCTGCGCCAATTAATGGATGATTGGTGGTCACAAAAGGCTAATCAGATTCAAGAGTACGCCACGCATCACGATTATGGTCAATTCTTTGAGGCTGTAAAAGAAGTATACGGTCCAACCAAAAAGGTGAGCTGTCTAATCATGGCACAAAATGGCGAACTTCTAAAAGAGGAAGAGCAAATTAGAAACCGCTGGAAAGAGCACTACAGCCATATCCTTAACCAAGAAAACAACCCCAATATAGAAGCACTAACCACAATACCTCAGTATAACAGCCTCGATGTATTAGATACCCCAATAACAGAACAGGAAATAATGGCATCCATAAAACAGCTTAAAACCAACAAATCAGCTGGCTGTGACGCGATCCCGGCGGAAATCTATAAGTGTGCATGTGTGCAAGTAAAGAACTTATTGGTCATCTTAAGGCTCTCTTGGATGTCATATGGGAAAGCGGAGAGGTATCCCAGGACTTTTGCAACGCGAATATAGTGAATATATTTAAGAACAAAGGAAGTGCATCAGACTGCGGAAATTACCGGAATTTCACTGTGGCTATCGGAGGAAAATTCTTGAAAAGAGTATGTCAAATCACCTTCACTCACATATAGAAAATTCTTCCAGAATCGCAAACGGTTTTCGCACCAACCGTGGCACCGTCGATTCCATATTTTTCCATCCGCCAACTACAGGAAAAGTAAAAGAGCAGCAGTCTAAACTTTATGTTGCATTCATCGATCTAATAAAGCCTTCAGCTCTGTGAACAGAGATGCACTTTGAACCAATTATGAAAAGTTCGGGTACCAACAAATTTCTTACAGTGTGCGAAAGCCTCCATAACAACAACCAGTCAAGAGTGTCATATCATGGATCACTGGAGGCAGTCCCTTCCCAGCTAATACAGGAGTTAGGCAGGAATGTGTCTAAACGCCTCTTCTATTCCAACATATTCATGGTAGCGCTCTCGTTATAGTGGACAGCAAACTGCAGGAGAGGATTAGGCGTAGATACAGATATGACGGCGGTCTGTTTCAACATAAAAAGACTGAGGGCAAAAACACGTACAATAGTCATCCCACAGAACTTCCAATACGCTGATGACTGCGCTCAATTACAAACACTTTACAACAATTACAAGAAATGTTGAACCTACCTGGGCATACGGGGCTTTGGGCCTTAAGCTAAACATCGGCAAAGGAAACCAAAATCATGCACTCCCCGGAAGATCATAGCAATGCTGTAAAATCAGGAAAAGAACTATTGGAATATGTAGATTTTAATTACCTCAGCAGTTTGATTTCGGGAAAAGGCCAATATCGACTCTGAAATTCAGCACAGGATTAGCACCTCAAGAGCATTCTGGAAATTAAAAGACAGGGTTTTCTACAATCATGACTTGAGTATAAAAACAGAAACTGGCAGTGTACCGAGAGCAATTATAATTTAACATGTTATATGGGGGCAGAAACCTGGGTGCCATTACCGCCGACACATGAAGGCGATTAAACAAGTTGCAACAGAGACACCTTAGACAACTCTTAAGAATCCGGTGGTTCCATCATGTCTCAAACGTATCGGTCCTTGAAAAAGCTAACTGCGAGAGTATTGAAGTCATGGTTACAAAATCCCGCTTAAGATGGGCTGGTCACGTATGCAGAATGCAAGAAAACCGCATACCAAAATCTCTGCTTTACGGGGAGCTTGTAGACGGTAAGAAGAGGCCGGGTGGACAACTCAAAAGGTACAAGGACATTTTCCAGGAAAACTTAAAGAGGATTAACATGCAGAAACATTGGGAAGAAGCAGTTCACAATAGAACTCAATGGAGAAGAATTGTAAACTCAGTTAACAGCGACAACCAAAAAGTAAAAAGGCAACAAAGCAATGAGATTTTTGAATGTCCGGAGTGCGGTAGGCAAATAACATCACGTATCGAGCTTTTCAGTCACAGAAAAGCTCATGAAAGAAAACGCCTTGCGTGACCATCTTTTGATGCGTGTCGAATACTCGTCAGCGAGTAATGGCAGTATATATATGTATATACCTCTTTTATG